AGTCAGGGTCTCTCTCCGTTGCCTTGACAGTGGCATGATCACAGCTCACGGTAGCCTCCATCTTCTGGGCTCAAGCAATCCTCCCACCTCAGCCTCCCAAGTAGCTGGGACCACAGGTACACACCACCATGCCCAGCTAATTTTAAAACATTTTTATAGAGACAGGGCCTCGTTCTGTTGCCCAGGCTGGTCTCGAACTCCTATCCTGAAGCAATCCTCCTACTTGTAATCCCAAAGCATTGTGATTACAGGTGTGAGCACCATGCTTTGCCAACCATGTTACTATCTCGGTAGCACCGTGTTTACTTCTGAAGTATTAACCTAACAGGTCACATAAATAACAGCAAAAACAATTCCCATGTACTGGCCACAGACTATGTTGTATTTGACTCTCACCACAATTCTACAAACTAGACACTGTGATGATCATCCCTGTTCTACAGATGAGGAGGCGGGTGCAGAGCAGACACATCGGTATGCAGATACACAGCTGGTCGTGGCAGGGCTGAGCCAGGAACCCAGTCAACCTGATGAGGGAACCCAGGCTGTTTGCCTGCGAAGCCCTGGGCTTTCTGTGCTGACTATAGATTATGGGCACAGGGAGGGACAGGGACAGTGGCTTGCCCACAGAGACAGAGGCTGGGGACGGATATGGTTCCTGGGATTCCCATCCCAGGACTCCCTCCCCAGTGCTCCCCAACGGGATGAACAAACTGCCTGCATGGTTCTCTACTTTTCAGACAAGTTGGCCATACTGGTGAAAGTTGTCTCAGGGGCAAGCAGGCCTGAGGGGTAGATGCTTCCACCAGGACAACCAGGGCTGCAGACACGGAGCCAGAGAAGAAACGCAGAGTGGGGGCTAAGCAGGGTCTTGTTCGTCAATGGGGGAGGGATTGTGGAGTGGGATAGGGTAGCTCCAGCATCTGCTCATCTGTGGAAGGTCTCCCAGAGCCTTTAGCAGCCTCAGTGCACCAGGTTCCCTGATCACATTGTGTAGGAGTTGGAGCCTCCTGGGTCTGCAGGAGAGGAGGGGGCCACTTAGAGAAGTGGGGGTGGGAGATTCAAAGAGAGAGAGGAAAGAGAGAGAGAGAGAGAGAGAGAGAGACAGAGACAGAGACAGAGACAGAGACAGAGAGACAGAGGGACAGGGGCTGCCCAGGCCTTTGTGAAGGGACATTTATCTAGCTCTCAAGTCTTGATGTGGAAAAGCCTCACTTTTTACTTTTTTTTTTTTTTTTTGAGACAGAGTCTCGCTCTGTCACACAGGCTGGAGTGTAGTGGTGCAATCCTGGCTCACTGCAACCTCCACTTCCCGGGTTCAAGTGATTCTCCTGGCTCAGCCTCCCGAGGAGCTGGGATTATAGGCGCATGCTACCCCGCCCAGCTAGAGACGGGGTTTCACCGTGTTAGCCAACATGGTCTCAATCTGCTGACCTCGTGATCCACCCATCTCGGCCTTCCAAAGTGCTAGGATTACCTTGGGTCTCAAAATGTTCCCAAGCCCCTCCAGACATGGCCTTTCACCCTGGCTTCTCTCAAGCCAAGTCTTAGGAAAGGTTGTCTACACTTCTTGACCCCATCTTTTCACTCTTCTTCATACTGGAGGCCACTGCAGAATGGCCAACCCACCCCGGGTCCACTGGCCACCCTCAAGCCTGGTGTTTGTCTGCACAGACAGTGGTGAGCCTTCCTTCCTGCTGCCTCAGTTTCCCCAATGCCACTCTCCTGCTGTCCCTCCTGCCTCCCTGGTGGCGTGAGCCACCACACCCGGCCAAGCCTCACTTTTTCTTTCTCATTCCACCTTGCCTAGAATCTTCTGATCACTCTATTAATGGGGTGAGCCATTATGAAAAAGGCGAGTTGGTGAGAGCCTCCTTTCTCCCTCCCTAGGAGGAAGGGGCAGCAGCCATGGGTTCTAAAGGTCTAAAGTCAGCCTCCCTACCTCAGGTAGTAGACACCGACCTGCATGTGCCAAGGGCAGGACTCACTCCTGGAACCTTGTGCGATGGCCCCGAGAGGGAAAGCAGGTGCCCCTGAGTCCAGACTTCTGCAGTCGTATCAGAGGGCCTATGCAAGCTGCTTGGGGTCTGGCTGATTTCGTGTGAGGGCGTGCCCAGCACTGGCCGAGGTGGAATGTCCTCTTGAGGCAGTTGGAAAGGGGCTCTGAATATGCCAGATCTGACCTAGAGGAACACAGGAGTGTGCAGGTCTCATGCCCTAATCTAAGGACTAACATTGTCATCTGCTTCTCCCCCAGTTTGGCTTCTTGGGGATCCTAAAGCCAGTCAGAAGCGGGGAGGAAGCAGGAGAGTCCTGAGAGGCCTGATATCCCTGGATGGCCCTTTTCCCAACAGCCATAAAGGGCCTGATGTGCAAGCTCTGCTTGACCAAGAGGCCACTGGGGCAACACTTGAGCTGTGAAAGCAGGTTGCACAGAAGTCCACTTCTTCCTTCTCTCAAGGCCAGGTGTGCAACCAGTGGCCTTCATCCAAGCTTCCACCTTCTAGGAGCCCTGCTGTCCAAGCCCCCAAGTGTCCCACAGGCCAACTGAGGTCAAGAGGTACCCCAGGCCTCAGGGCCACATGGCCAGTCCACAGAGGAGCTGGGACTGGAATTTGCCACGTGGACGCTGGACCCCTCTATCACTTTGGCCCTTTATCTCTCCCGGCTGTGCTCTCTCCCTCTCCCAACACCAGCCAGGCATCCCAGCTTGGTGTCTCAGCCAGAGCACCAAACAGGGAGTCATTTGAGGTCGCATCAGGAGAGACTTCCTGGAAGCTGTAGGGGCAAAGAGGAGATTGCTGTGCCTGGTTGGAGGTCAGGGAAAGCTTCATGAGGTGAAAGGGCAGGCCCAACAGAAGGATGGGGGCAGACCTGGGAGAAAGAGTAGGAGGCTCAGATGAGCCTATGTGATGGAGGCCTATGTGACAGTCTGGCACTTGGGGTGTGCAGGGATGGGGTGAGGACAGTGGGAACAAAAAGGCCACAGGCCCTGATGCCAGACTAGGGGGTATGTGGGCTCCTGAAGGTAGAGGGTTGAAATGGCCAAATCGGTGGTTTAAAGGAACCCCTGGACCATGGTGTGGAGGGTGGACTATGGTCTGAGGAGAGCCTGAAACCTAGAGAAGGTGGAGTCTGGAGGCTGGGGCAGCACTGCATGGGAGAGATGGTGGCAGGAGCCAGGCAGGGGTGGAGGGGGAGGCCGGAGGGGAGTGCTTTCAGAAAGAAGGAGCTGAGGGTGCTTCAGGGCTCAGGCAGCAGACACTCAGCAGAAGAGCAGTCAAGGGGGCCCAGTGGGGACAACTAGGATGTTCATGGGAGTCTTGAACTCAGAGACACAGATAGGGTGGTGTCTGCCTATTATAACTGGTGTTCTGGGAGAGGGTGTCCCCAGGGAAACCCAAGGCCAGGGAAGAGAAGCAGCCCAGGAGGTGACCCCACACGCTCTCAATATTAAGAAGACAGTCCTTGGGGGAGACCAAGAAGGAGCCACCAGGGAGGCAGGAGGGACAGCAGGAGAGTGGCATTGGGGAAACTGAGGCAGCAGGAAGGAAGGCTCACCACTGTCTGTGCAGACAAACACCAGGCTTGAGGGTGGCCAGTGGACCCGGGGTGGGTTGGCCATTCTGCAGTGGCCTCCAGTATGAAGAAGAGTGAAAAGATGGGGTCAAGAAGTGTAGACAACCTTTCCTAAGACTTGGCTTGAGAGAAGCCAGGGTGAAAGGCCATGTCTGGAGGGGCTTGGGAACATTTTGAGACTGAGAAAAACAGTGAAGAAGGATGCAGAAGGGGATAGATGGAGCAGAGCCTCTGTCTGGCTGACAGCTGGGTCCAGAGAGCAGGTAGTATGGCCTTGAATAGAAAGGGCAACTTGTCCCTTGCAAGGGTGAGTCTCTAGGTTGGGGGTGCTACTGTCTTCATTCACCAGTTCTTTTTTTGCTTTTTGATTTTTTTTTTTTTTTTTTTTTTTTTTTTTTTTTTGAGACGGAGTCTCGCTCTGTCGCCCAGGCTGGAGTGCAGTGGCCGGATCTCAGCTCACTGTAAGCTCCGCCTCCCGGGTTCACGCCATTCTCCTGCCTCAGTCTCCCGAGTAGCTGGGACTACAGGCGCCCGCCACCTCGCCCGGCTAGTTTTTTTATATTTTTTAGTAGAGATGGGGTTTCACCGTGTTAGCCAGGATGGTCTCGATCTCCTGACCTCGTGATCCGCCCGTCTCGGCCTCCCAAAGTGCTGGGATTACAGGCTTGAGCCACCGCGCCCGGCCGCTTTTTGATTTTTTAATACTGAGTCTCACTCTGTTACCCCGGCTGGAATGCAGTGACATGATCTTAGCTAACTGCAACTTCTGCTTCCCGGGTTCAACGGGTTCAAGCGATTCTCATGCTTCAGCCTGTACCTGGACTACAGGTGTGAGCCACCATGCGTGGCTAATTTTTGTATTTTTAGTAGAGATAGGGTTTCACCATGTTGGTGAGGCTTGTCTTGAACTCCTTATCTCAGGTGATCTGCCCACCTTGGCCTCCTAAAGTGCTGGGATTATAGGTGTGAGCCACCGTGCCCTGCCTCATTAATCAATTCTTAATCGATGCCTACTGGATGCCAGGCAATGCCTAGAGCTGGAGATTTAGCAGTAAACAACTAAATCCATCACCCTGACTCCTGAGGAGTAGAAGGATGTAGAATAGGCACCTGGCTCTCTTCCTCTCTTGAGGGACTTAATGCTCTTGAGCAACCCTGGCTATGACAATCTCCTGTTGGGTCTGGGAGGTTGTCAGAGAGATGGAGAAACCACTTCCTCATCTTGCACATGAGGCAGGCCTCACTCACTGCCCAGCAAGTCCTGTGAAGCAATAGCCAGGGGCTGAAGCAAACCCCAGCCCACACCCTGGCAGGCAGCCAGGGATGGGTGGGTCAGGAAGGTTCCTGGTTGGGCCTTTGCATCAGGCTCAGGTTGAGCATAAAGGAGGCTCCTGTGGGCTAGAGGGAGGCAGACATGGGGACCATGAAGACCCAAAGGGATAGCCCCTCCCTGGGGCGGTGGTCACTGGTGCTGCTGCTGCTGGGCCTAGTGATGCCTCTGGCCATCGTTGCCCAGGTCCTCAGCTACCAGGAAGCTGTGCTTCGTGCTATAGATGGCATCAACCAGCGGTCCTCGGATGCCAACCTCTACCGCCTCCTGGACCTGGACCCGAGGCCCACGATGGTGAGCTTCTGGCGAGGTTCTGTTCTGCTCTGGCTAGGCTTGGCCACCTGTTGTTCCTTCTGCTCCTGCTGCACTGCCTGCCAAAAGGGCATCTCCCCCTTTAAGTGTGGTCCTGTCTTTTCCAGGGAACCTTCTAGAGCTTGTATCTCCTCCCAGCATGAGAGCTTCCTGTCTTAGAATTCCTGTGGTGGCAGAGATACCCTCACCCCAACCCCATGCATTTGTAGAGGCTTCTGTGAGCTCCAGGCACTAGAGTGGGGTCATTGGCTCTGGGCAGTGACCTCCTCTGCTTTAAGTCTCTGCTGTACCACGTTACCCCACACAGGGAAGAACTCTGTCCAGACTTTAGGTTCCAGTGGGTATGTCTTGTACCCCAGGAAGCCCCCCGACTTCCCTTGCCCCCACCCCAGAGTGGGAGGGGCTCCTTGTTAGAGCTCATCTGAGGTCTGCTCCTACTCACTGTTCACCTAGGAGGGTAGGAATGGCTCAGTCTCCCTCCCCTCAGTACCCCAGTGCTGCGCCCAGTGCCCAGGGCCCATCGCACATCGGGTACTGTTGAAAGCCTGTCCTCTTGGTGGGAAGGTCATGGACACAAATCAGAAAATACAAGTATGGGCCTCCCCATTTCCTCCTCTGACTAGGATGGGGACCCAGACACCCCAAAGCCTGTGAGCTTCACAGTGAAGGAGACAGTGTGCCCCAGGACAACACAGAAGTCACCGGAGGATTGTGACTTCAAGGAGGACGGGGTGAGGCTTGGGGCTGGGGGTGTTGGTGGGTGCCTCCCAAGGAGGTGAACAAGGGGCACCTGGGGAATATTTCCCACTGGGATGGGGCTGGGAGGTTGTGGCAAATGGTTTCAAGTTTCACCTTGAGCTTCTCCTTTCCAGCTGGTGAAGCGGTGTGTGGGGACAGTGATCCTAAACCAGGCCAGGGACTCCTTTGACATCAGTTGTGATAAGGTGAGTGGGCTGTTCTGGGTTGCAGGGGCTGATGGGAGCATAGAGTGTGGACCATCCTATGGGTCAACTAACTACCTCCCCAACCCAGGGCAGAGAAAGCCCCTCCTACCCAGGGCTCTTCCCCCAACCTGAGCTCCATCTCTGGGGCCAGCTCTGGAATCCTAAGGTGTAACTCTCCAAGTGTAGCCCTTCCTGGGGACTCGTTAGACATGCAAATTCTCAGGCCCCACTCAGATCTACTCAGACAGACGCTGGGTAGGGCCCAGAAATTCATATTTTGATAAGCTTTCCAGGAGATTCCGGCTCCTGTAAAGTTTGAGAGCCACTGTCTTAGAGTACTCAGCTCTCAGCCCTGTGTTCCCATCTCAGTGTTTCTGGGCTGAGCTGTGTGACCCTGCAGAGCCCCTCATGATCCCCGGGACTCAGTTTTCTCATCTTTTTACTTGGTGTAGGGATTCAATCACATGCTTCAAAGATCACAGTCAGAGGTTGAACTGGGGCCCCAAAGTTCCTGCGGGGGCCCACGAAGGGGGGCATCTAGGTGGGGAGGTGTCTTGGATTGACCCTGGGTACACCCCTGACAAGGAACCTGTTTCTTCCTGTATACAACACCAGGATAATAGGAGATCTGCCCGGCTGGGCAATTTCTTCCGGAAAGTTAAAGAGAAGATTGGCGGAGGGCTTAAAAAAGTTGGCCAGAAAATCAAGGATTTTTTGGGGAATCTTGTACCCAGGACAGCGTCCTAGTGTGTGCCCTACTCTAGCTCAGGCTTCTGGGCTCTGAGAAATAAACTATGAAAGCAATTTCCTCAGGCTGCAATCTCACTTGTCTTGCCTCCTCTCTCTCACCACTACCGAGCCCTTAACTCAGGGAGGCCGCGTGTGAGTGTGAGTGTGTGTGAATGTGACACAGAGGTGGCAAGGGCAGTGTTCCATCCAGGAGGACACAGGGTAAGGCAGCAGGGCCAAGAGGTCCAAGAGAGCATCCCCATTCTCAGTGGAACCCCCAGTGGGGAATTAAGGAGCTCTACTCTGTGTGTGGTGGTGGGGGAATGCTGTGGAGCTGTTCCTGCTCATGGGGAGGTGATATTCGGGAGAGGGGCCAAGCGTGTTGTTAACATGCAGAGAAGCATGGTCCAGTCCCATGGGTGGCTGGCCAACTGGGTGCGGTCTGCCTGCAGGTACAATTCCCATAAAATTCCACTGCTTCCTAAAAGACTTAACTCAGGAAAGCCCATAACTCTGGGCATTTCCTCTGGCATTGGGACACATCACAGTTTCGTCAGGTAGGTAGCAGATTTAACTTGTGGGCTTGTGTTTAGGGATTGTTGGAAACAAGAATATGGTCGGGGCCGGGCGCGGTGGCTCACGCCTGTAATCCCAGCACTTTGGGAGGCCGAGGCGGGCGGATCACAAGGTCAGGAGATCGAGACCACGGTGAAACCCCGTCTCTACTAAAAATACAAAAAATTAGCCGGGCGCGGCTGTGGGCACCTGTAGTCCCAGCTACTCGGGAGGCTGAGGCAGGAGAATGGCGTGAACCCGGGAGGCGGAGCTTGCAGTGAGCCGAGATCGCGCCACGGCACTCCAGCCTGGGCTGGGCGACAGAGCGAGACTCCGTCTCAAAAAAAAAAAAAAAAAAAAAAAAAAAAAAAAAAAAAAGAATATGGTCAGGCATGATGTCTCATACCTGTAATCCCAGGACTTTGGGAAGCCAGGCGGGTGGATTACTTGAGCTCAAGAGTTTGAGACCAGCCTGGGCAACATGGCAAAGCCTGTCTCTACTAAAAATACAAAAATTAGCTAGGCGTGGTGATGCATGCCTGTAGTCCCAGCTACTCGGGAGGCTGAGGTGGGAGGATTTCTTGAACTTGGAAGGCAGAGGTTGCAGTGAGCTGAGATTGCGCCACTGCTCTCCAGCCTGGGTGACAGGGTGAAACCCTATCTAAACAAACAAAGGTGAGTGGGCTCATAAAAACCAAAGACCAGCCAGGGACGGTGGCTCACGCCTTGTAATCCCAGCACTTTGGGAGGCCAAGGTGGGCAGATCACCTGAGGTCGAAATTTCAAGACCAGCCTGACCAACATGGAGAAACCCCGTCTCTACTAAAAATACAAAATTAGCTGGGCGTGGTGGTGCATGCCTGTAATTCCAGCTACTCGGAAGGCTAAGGCAGGAGAATCACTTGAACCCGGGAGGCAGAGGTTGTGGTGAGCTGAGATCATGCCATTGCACTCTAGCCTGGGCAACAAGAGCAAAACTCCATCTCAAAAAACAAAACAAAACAAACAAACAAACAAAAAACCCACCTAAAGCAAATACCCACATGCACACCCTAGCTCTCTGACCTTGGGAACATCATCTGACCTTTCAGTCTCAATATTTTCACCTGTAAAATGGAAAACATAACAGTTCATTCCTCCAGGATGACTATGGGGATAGATGATAGATGGCACGTGTGAAGTGCTGGGCACATAATAGAAATCTAGAGATTCTTTGTCTTTTTGCATCATGTCAACGCAAGGATGGATTCTTTGTTGTGCCAAAGAGCTGGTCTTCTCTACTCCCTCTCTGCTGAAACACCCCCAGTGGCAGGAAACTCACTGCCTGCTATTGTGAGTCAGTGCATTCCATGGCTGGGTAGTTTCTTGTCTTAGAAATTGATGCAGTGAAATTCAGTTTTCCATGCCTTTACCTAGCACAGTGTTTGGCATATTATTGGCACTCAGATGTTTTAATGAATGAACAGAAAAAAGCTGTTAATCATTCATTTATCATCTTTAAGAAAAATAAGATTAAAAGGCCAGGCACAATGGCTCACACTTGTAATCCCAGCACTTTGGGAGGCCAAGGTGGGCGGATCATCTGAGGTCAGGAGCTCTAGGCCAGCTTGACCAACATGGTGAAACCCCGTCTCTACTAAAATACAAAAATTAGCCAGGCCTGGTGGCAGATGCCTGTAATCTCAGCTACTCCGGAGGCTGAGGCAGGAGAATCGCTTGAATCCGGGAGGCGAAGGTTGCAGTGAGACGAGATGGCACCACTGCACTCCAGCCTGGGTGGCAGAGCGAGACTCCACCTCAAAAAAAAAAAAAAAAGAAAGAAAGAAAGAAAAGAAAAATAAGACTACAGGCTTTGTGAAGCTAGCTTTTTGGCACCATGCTTTTCTCAGTAATTATTTATTGGATAAATAAAGATCTAGTTAGTAAAATATAGTCTGAATACTTCAAAACACACACACATATTTCTTTTCCTCTCTATATATGAGACTATAGCTTTATTTTTTGAGTATATATGATGCTTTAACATAAAACAACACATTTGATTTTTTGAGGGGGCTTATAATTTTCTGCCTTCCCACCCCCTTTTGTGTAGTATAACATTCAAACGGAAAAAGTGCACATCTCATAAAGGTACAGACGGATGCATTTTCACAAACTGAACACCCCTGTGTGGAATCAGCGCTGGGATCAAAAAACATAAATTACAAGTACCCCAGAGGTCCAACTCACGCCACTCACAATTATTACCCATTCTGTCCTCCCAGAAATTACCAATATCCTGATTTTTTTTTTTTTTTTTGAGACGGAGTCTCGCTCTGTCGCCCAGGCTGGAGTGCCCTGGCGTGATCTCGGCTCACTGCAAGCTCCGCCTCCCAGGTTCACGCCATTCTCCTGCCTCAGCCTCCCGAGTAGCTGGGGCTACAGGTGCCCGCCGCCATGCCTGGCTAACGTTTTTGTATTTTTAGTAGAGACGGGGTTTCACTGCGTTAGCCAGCATGGTCTTGATCTCCTGACCTCGTGATCTGCCCGCCTCAGCCTCCCAAAGTGCTGGGATTATAGGTGTGAGCCACCGCACCCGGCCCTTTTTTTTTTTTAGGGAGATTCTCACACTGTCACCTAGGCTGGAGTGCAGTGGCGCAATCTCAGCTCACTGCAACCTCCGCCTCCCGGGTTCAAGCAGTTCTCCTGCCTCAGCCTCCTGAGTAGCTGGGATTACAGGCGCGCACCACCGTGCCTGACTGATTTTTGTGTTTTTAGTAAAGGCAGGGTTTTGCCGTGTTGGCCGTGCTGGTCTCAAATTCCTGACCTCAAGTAATCCTCCCGCCTCCTCCTCCCAAAGTGCTGGGATTACAGGCATGAGCCACTCCACCGGCCCAATATCCAGATTTTTTTTTTTTTCTTTTGAAACAGAGTCTTTGCTCTGTCACCCAGGCTGGAGTGCAGTGGAATGATCTCGGCTCACTGCAACCTCTGCCTCTCAGGTTCAAACAATTCTTCTGCCTCAGCCTCCTGAGTAGCTGGGACTACAGGCGCCTGCCACCACGCCCAGCTAATTTTTGTATTTTTAGTAGAGACCAAGTTTCACCATATTGGCCAGGCTGGCCTTGAACTCCTGACCTCATGATCTGCCCACCTTGGCCTTCCAAAGTGCTGGGATTACAGGCATGAGCTACCATGCTTGGCCCAGTATCTTGATTTTTAGCATGCAGACATTTTGCCTGATTTTGAACTTTATTTATTTTATTTTTTATTTTTATTTATTTATTTTTTAAGATGGAGTTTCACTCTTGTTGCCCATGCTGGAGTGCACTGGCACGATCTTGGCCCACCGCAACCTCCGCCTCCTGGGTTCAAGTGATTCTCCTGCCTTAGCCTCCTAAGTAGCTAGGATTACAGGCATGTGCCACTACACTGGCTAATTTTTTTTATTTTTATTTTTTTGAGACAAAGTCTCGCTCTGTTGCCCAGGCTGGAGTACAGTGGTACGGTCTGGGCTTACTGCAACCTCAGCCTCCTGGGTTCAAGCGATTCTTCTGCCTCAGTCTCCTGAGTAGCTGGGACTACAGGTGCGTGCCATCACACCTGGCTAATTTTTTGCATTTTTAGTAGAGACAGGGTTTCTTCGTATTAGCCAGGATGGTCTCGATCTCCCAACCTCATGATCTACCTGCCTTGAACTCCCAAAGTGCTGGGATTATAGGTGTGAGCCACCCTTTCCCGGCCTAATTTTGTATTTTTAGTAGAGACGGGGTTTCTCCATGTTGGTCAGGCTGGTCTTGAACTTCTGACCTCAGGTGAACCACTGGCCTCCCAAAGTGCTGTGATTACAGGCCTGCACTACCGTGCCCGGCCTTGATTTTGAGCTTTAAATAAGTGGAATGATATGATACATATTCTTTTTGCCTGGCTTCTCTCTCTTCATATTATGTCGGTGAGATCACCTCTGTTGATGATGAGAGGTAGGGATCGAGTTTCTTTTTTTCTTTTTTCATATGGATATCTAATTGACCCAGCACTTTTTATTGAAATAATTATTTCCCAACCCTGACATATTTTTTAAATACTGTTTTATTTTCTGATTATAAAATCAAGACACATGTCAAGCACGGTGATATGTATTTGTAGTCCCAGCTACTTGGGAGGCTGAGGCAGGAGGATCACTTGAGCTCAGGAGTTTTAGAACAGCCTGGGTAACATAGTGAGACTGCCATCTCTAAAAAATTTTTTTTAAAAATTAAGACACATTGAAAAGTCTTGACACTCCTGAGCATTGATAAAGTTGTGGAGGGTGGAGCCATCCTGGGGAGCCATTTGGAAGTACCTAATAAATATGAATATATGTACACCTGTGAACAAGCCATTCTGCCCCTTGGTCTACAGCATAGAGCAGCTTTTCTCCAGGTGTTGTCTGGGGAATCCCTGGGGGGCAACGTGAGACTTTCAGTGGGTCTGTGAGGTAAGGTATATTTTTTTCTCTCTAAATAGCTTATAAGTGGAGTTTTGGAGACTATGTGGTATCTGATATCTTTGGGGA